TCTCTGTAAGGGGAATTTCCTCTTAAAGGCTACTGGGGTGGTTGACTGCGGTTTGGATGAGCGTCATGCAGGCTACCAGATTGAAAGAGTACACGACTTGTTCGATTTAAACCATAAAACAATATTTTTTAATAATGGACCTTTCTTAGAAACTTTTCTATTTATTGGTGGTGTGGAAAAAAATAAATAAAAAAATAGAAAATAGAAAACAAATAATAATACCAGTTTACAACAAGGTTCCATTTGTTCCAGCATTAGTTAACTACATTAGTAAACATGAACTAACAAAGAAAAAATATTCTAAAGTAATTACTATTGTAATTTCAGTATTTACTAATGCATTATTAAAATCCAAAGCTGCGTCTATTAATATTATTTAATGGACCTGAGCTGACATGAGCTAACAACGAACAGTTATATTTATATTGACTAACATTATCAAAGATTAATAAACACTGTAACAAATGAATTGCTCTGAAATGAACCGATAGGACCTTACTGTAAAGTGTTACCATAGTTATTATTATTATTAATAATAATAATAATAATAACATTTCCTTAAAAAGTAACTATAATTCTAAGAATAATGGGGGGAAAAAGTAGTAAATAATAGAAAATAGTATACAATAAAGTTCAGACGATAATGATGACATTCTCAAATACATTGGCAATCTAATATTGTCTAATATTGTCGCTGTCAGACACCTTAAAGCAAAACCCCAGACCTGTCATATCTAAACACCTCCAAACATTTCTGTCAAATGAAGACAAAGGCCGAGTAAACACAAAGTAAGCACAGTGGGATGCCAAGCATAAACTCTTGGCAATGCTTAATGTCACGTGATCTCATTGTTATTCAGATGGTCTCTGCAATAGACAAACATACAATAAAATAAGCAATACAGCCAACAAAAACTGGAAACATCTTGCCCCGAAACTCTCACACTGGACACTGGGCCGAACTTCAGAGCCCTGCAGATAACTCTCCTTCTCTCTGTGTTTTACTCTTACCTGTCCAGATGAAATGCAGCGATCTCTGCGTTGTGTCGCTCAAAGTCAGAGAAGTAGAAGAAGTCTGGGGGTGTCTCTTGTTCCCTGGTTTGTCTAGAGGACAGAGTAGAAAAAAACAAGATTGGTGTTAGCTAGTGCTTGTTAGACAGTGAGCTGCTGGCAGAAACAGAGGTACAGTGAGCACACAAAGTACAGCAGAAATGTTCGTTTTAAACCTAATAGTCTCAGAATGCAATAAAAGAGTATTGCTTATGCTGTAGTATAACTTGCGCTGTATGCTTCATACTC